CAAAGAAATGTATGGATCAAAAAAAAATATTTGAGAATAACATTTCATCTGTTTCAACTGGAAAGATTCCATAGATGAATTCGTAGAGGGAAAGTATTCTTGATTCCACTGAAGGAAATCCAAATAAATCCAATATGTTAACAGCGTCCTTTTTGACAATTTATTTTCCTTTCGTCGTCTCCCTTTGGCCTTGTATCTCATGGTGAAAATTCGCGAAGAAGCGAAATTTCACCGTAGCTGATCGTGTTCCTTTACATGTCACTGATATTCCATAGATCATTTGATCAAAGTCCACATATTGAGGTACGAACACAGCGATTTTCAGCTATTTTGAAGACAATCAACAGCGTCCTTTTTGGTACTAAAAATCGTACAATTTGAAAACACTAACTTGACGCTGAAATGGCTGACGAAGACGCGTGTTTCACGCGAATACTTGACCTGATCTTCCATTTAATTATCCATGTTTGGTACCAAAATAAACCTTAGAAACATGGCTTTCAGACGGGGACTCCTTTAATTTTGGAGGTTTTTACTGGCGCCTTGCGCGCACTGGTAAATAGCGGGAAATACGAACGAAAGATCAAGTCTACGCTATTTAGTGTAAACAATGTCAGACCTTTGAAATTCCTTAGAAATGTACAAGTATAAACAAAAGATCACAATATCAACTGATGATCATTGTTTAAAATACCTGAGGGAAACGTGTGTTCCAGCAAATAATATTATTTACACTATGAACATTCCAAACGAGCACCTCACAAGCCACTAATGAACTCAAGGATCAGGGCGTGCTATCCCAATACTCGTTTGTCGATGTTTTGAACGTTTTGATTTTAGCCCAGTATTGTATTAAGAGTAGAAAATTTGATCTTCAAAAGTTCAAACCTCAAGGGAACTTGTACAAAGCTCTATTTTRGTGGGAAAACCCGCTGACTCGACACGGGCTCAAATGTCCGGAATTTCTGGCCATGATCGATATAGAAATGAAAGAAAGTTGTAGTGCTTCATCATCATCACCGTCTGGCGACCCCTTTTAAGAGCCGAGGCGCACTCAACAACACGTCGTCACACATCTCGGTCTGCCATGGCTACAAAATGGTCATCTTTCTCCATTCTCGCATCCCTAACGATGGTATCTGGCTGGGTAAGTGAGGCCTCTGTAACTGACAAGGCCACAAGGTTTCAACAGCAGTAAAGTCTGTATTACCTCTTCGGTGGCCCAATTGCAATGTCCGGCGAACGACAGCCTCTTCTTGGAGACCTTCTGCGACAGGGGCGGGGTATTCCCAAATATGCGCGCAAGTGTAGCGTGCTCGGACCAATGAATGTTCTATATTGGACATGAAAGGAACGCGTCTGAGCATGTTGGTGTAAGCTCCGATCCATCCATGCGCTTCTTTTGGCTTTTGGTAATTGCACCATAGAGGAGAATGGGCTCGAGATGTGTAGTTTCATTGGCGAAGGTCGAATGCCATATCTTAGTGCTTAGAAAGAGGCAATTCCGGAAGAAAGACCCTTCCAAACTASAGAAACATCCAATGATCTTCAGTGTAGCTATGTATGTGTAGTCACTCTTGGTGCTCTTGGAGCTGTAAGTGAYATTGAAATCTTTAGTAACAAGCTATCAGTGTCAATTTTCAAGTAATATGAGCTTATTYAATATATCTGGACATTAGAAAAACACACACAAATAAAAAAGACAATGATTCAGTGATCCCTTGCAATCACAAACTACGACAAGCTCGCTAAGTAGCCGAGATATGCTCTGTTGGCTTTCTTAATTACAGCCAGCAAGTGGAACCTATGAATCATTTAATGAACAATAGACTAAAAAGATCAAAGATATAACATATCACACATAACTCCAAAAAAAAGATACTGATTAAACTTACCTTTTTAACTGCTTCTTTTCGATTAGAAATTTGTAAATATTTGTTTGGTTTCTAATTTTTATTGTTTTATTCACGGATCCAAAGAACCAAAAGGGAATAAACTCGGAAAAATTCGGTCCTCATATTCATAAAAAGAATATCATATCGTTGAAATAAACAGTTTTGAATAGAACATTAATTAAAGTGAAAGTATGTAACGCATTCTTGCTTTCACTATTTGTTAGAAGTAAAAAATATATATATTCTGYGTCAAAATTTACATTCATATATAATCATATCATTAGACAGAATATAGCATCATAGCATCATAACGTTTTCTTCTAAATACTAACACCTTTCGAAACGTAGCAAAGGTTATTTTTTTATATCTACTACCTATGAATCAAAAATGTCGGAACATTATATTCTTATCGTGTTTAAAACCTTTCACTCGCACCCATGTAATATGCTGTTTTTCTCAATTTTCCAAAATGGCTAGCCCGATTTCACACTCCAAGAGCGTCTAGTTTTGATCAAGTGCGATAACTCTACTGTTCGACACAAGCATGACACTTTGAGATTCATTTCGATTGCCTGACGTTTATCACCAAGAACTAAACGTCAAACGTCAAAATTATCGGAATTGTTCGAGAGATTTTTCAAAAAAAATTCGATTGCCTGACGTTTAGTTCTTSCACTAAACGTCAGGCTGCCTGACGTTTTAGACACTACGTTTATTGTGTCTTTCTCTTTTGGATGGATTCTTAACACTTTCATAATAATCAGTGATTTTCATACTATAAAAACACCGTCTCTCTATGATTTGTTTCTGCTGCACTAATGTAAGACGTTAATGAATATTGTTAAAAGAGCCACCATTCTTATTTGTAATTKGGTGAAATCAAATAATTTAGGAGAGAAGAGTTTCATGATGGATCACTAACTTCTTGAATAAACAAATCATCNAGCCTTTTTAGCGTTCATAATGCTTCCAAAACCACAATCATGATTAGATGTTCTGATTTGAGATCCTGGTCAACGACATGGAGAACTATTATACACTTGCCTGCTGGAAATCGGTGAGTACGAGTATTTCAGTCTCTACTATATAGATCTTGAAATGCTGCTAGCCCTATTTAAGGATTTAAGAGACGTTGACTGAGAAAACCGGGCAGGTCCAAAAGATGGGGGTCGGCCGATTTCCTTTATTTTCTCGGCATGAGAAACCTATCGGATATAGTCAAGAATGGCCATGTTTAAAGATTTTCAAAGTCAATAATTTTCGAGATGGACCACCCCCCCCCTCATTTTGAGCCCTAAATCGTCGAAATCGCATATTTAATGACATCAAAATTGAGACCCGAAATATCACACTTCCTTACGGACTTTCTCAACSAAACTCTGCGCACAAATTAATTGTTCATTTGCTATCTCCAAAATAGCTTCAAACTCGAGATATTTAATTTAGTCGATGTTTTATTGCATTTTAAACAGAWGGTGTTTTGTGGTATTTTGATGTTAGCCGAATTTTACCGAAAATTGAATTCGGTTTTCTCGTTTGTGCGGCAGTTTTTTTTTTCAAACTTAAGTCATACTGTGATTGCCTTTTGTCACAGCATTCAAAATCAAAAATAATTTGAATGGGGCAAATTTTTATTGTAGAGCTACGCATCTTTAYATTTTGACATTTTATCGCGTGATTAGCATAAGCCGGCACAATGTGTCRCGCCACTACATTCATTTGCATGAAAGTTTTTTTAATTGAATAAGCTAATATGATCAAAAGTAAGTTTATGAACAAAAAAAGTAGGCTCCACAGGTTCTAAAGAACATTTTACGGCTTTTTTTATTACTTGTAATAATGCTGAACCATATGCCTGAACAGTTAAAAGAGTGGTACTTTTGTTTACATTTTAGCCAAACTGCCAACTAAAAAACTACGTTGCCTCCATGCAATTGAATTCAATTTTGTATTGATACACAAATCTCGGAATTATTACGTCTTTCCGAAAAAAAGATTATTCATCTTTCTGATCTTTGGTTTTCCATAGTTGTCTGCGGATACCACGTAATTTTGAATTGACGTCAGCCCTAATTTCGATTTGCAAAAATGACATACCGAAAATGATACAAAAAGAAATACAGACAAGAAATATATTTTTTGAGAGATAAATAATAAGCATTGTTGTCATTTAATGAAATACTCAAAATAATTGTCATTACCTCATT